ATTCTTAGGTTTGGTCTTTTTATTGTGTCCCATATTTCTTGAATGTTTTGTGATGAGAATTTGTTGGCTTTGCTGTTTTCTTTGATCAGTGCATTTATTTTCTCTATGGTGTCCTCAGCATCTGAGATTCTTTCTTCTATCTCTTGTAGTCTATTGATTATGCTTGTTTCTGTAGACTCTGCTCGTTGGCCTAGATTTTCCATATCCAGCTGTTCTTCCCTTTGTGTTCTCTTCCTTGCTTCCCTTTCAGTTTTCAATTCTTGCACTGTTTCCATTACCTGTTTGATCGTTTTTTCTTGGTTTCCCAGGGTCTCATGTACATATTTACTTAATTCTTCGAACTTTTTGTTATTCTTCTCATCCATTTCTATAAGGGTGTTTATTACATATTTTTTAAGGGATTCTATTGCTTTCATAAAGTCAATTTTTTCCACTTCTTCTGTGTTAGGGTGTTCAAATCTTTCTGTTGTAAGATCTTTGGGATCTGGTGTTTTCATGTTGTTTTTCTGATTAATGGGTGATGTTCTGCCTTGGCGCCTGCCCATCTCCTCCTTTCAATGCTATCTAATTGGTCTTTTAAAATCAGATCAGGTTTCTCTGCTGGCCAGAGGCTTCTCTTACTAATTGCCCTCGCTCTGTTTCCTGGCTCCTGCTGGGGGCCAAGAACCCTCTCACCCCTAAGAAGGGTTTTCTGGAACCGGTCCCGGCTCCCCGTTTGCCAGGGCCCTCGCCAACCAAAGGCCTACCTCTTTGATTTAATTGTAGTGGGGCGATCTGCTCTCGGTGTTGCGCGCTGGTCCCTGCCGCCTGCGACCTCTGCCACCGCGCTGGTCCCCTCCAGTCTCGGCGGCAGCCGTAGTTGCCTGCCTGCGCCTCCCAGCTCCGTCTGCCGTCGCCTGTGCCTCCCAGCTCCGTCTGCCGGCGCCTGCGCCTCCCAGCTCTGTCTGCTGGCGCCTGTGCCTCCCAGCTCCGTCTGCCGGCGCCTGCGCCTCCCAGCTCCGTCTCTGCCGGGCAACATGTTTTTAATTACATAGTATGTATCCTCTTTGGCAAAACAGAAGTACAAGACAAAAATCATTGTGCTGTGTGCGTGCAAATTGCGTGTTTCCATACAGTCCGCACTTGCTATTTGTACTTACAGGATACAAACTTTCAAAAGGCCTGTGCATTATCTGTCATAGTGCTGTGCCATGTGTGCGATAAGCAATGTCATTTGTCATAAGAGGACTAACTATCCCTGAAACACCTCTTAACTACTTTTTGTTTTGTTTGGTTTTGGTTTTGGTTTTTTTGAGACATGGTTTCTCCGCAATTTTGGAGCCTGTCTTGAAACTCACTGTAGACCACGTTGGCCTCGAAATTCACAGAGATTGCCTGCCTCTGCCTCCTGAGTGCTGGGATGGAAGGCATATGCCACCACCACCCGGCCTTAACTACCCTTTTTTTTAATAGTAATTATCTGGCTGGAGAGATGGCTCCGAGCTTAATAGCACTGAATGCTCTTCCTGAGGGCCTGGGTTCAATCCCCAGCACCCACATGGCAGTTCACAACTGTCTGTAAGTCCAGTTCCAGGGACTCTGGCACCCTCACACCAGTGCACATAAAAATAAAAGAAAATGCAGAAGACAGATGTTTGTATGTTATAAGCATTTGAAAGGAAAAATAGCCAAATCTAGTTTCAGAAAAATTAAAACAAAGAGGTAATACAGTTCATACAGAAATTTTTGATGGACTATTAGCTAAAGGGAGAACAGTTGAAAGTTGCAATTATTCATGACCATTAAATAGAATTAATAATTTAAAACTAAGTTACATCTGAGAACATAACTCAGTGCTTGAGTACTTATTTAGCATTCACAGTGCCCCAAGTTCAATCCAAAGCACTGTCCTACCCCCCCTGGACGGGAAGCAAAAAAAAAAAAATAGTTTACTCTCATCATCAAATAAAAACTTTTATTTTCTTAAATATTTACTGTGACAGAAGAGTACATATTTTTTATTTATCCTGTATATATGAAAATGGCATGTGTGATTCTCCACAAATATCACATACTTTAAATCCAGTACGTTCTGGCCTAATTATTATTTTCATCATCAAATTCTTGCCATTCATCCCTCAACCTAGTCCTGAATTACATAATTATTCTGAAATGTATTAAAACTTATTCAATAATATTACAGCACATCCATAATATCTGTCCTACAAACCTATGTGACTAACCCAAATTTGATGAAAGATTGCTGACGTGGAAATATTACTGCACAGGTCAGTGAAATACACGCTAGCTCCACTGGGCTAGCAAGTGAACAAAAATCTGCCAAGGAGATCCGAGGTGTTTCTCTAAAAGGGCAGGCATTTGTGTGTAGTAACTGGCCCCCTTTCAATAACTGTCTCTTTATAGCCAAAGGACATGGAAATTGAAGTCAGAGTGGAAAAAGAGTATTCTTAGTCACCTAATATCTGTTAAGTGTTCAGTGTGCAATAGTGACCAGTAGTGTCTTAAGATTATTTGTATTCTGGTTTTTAATGAGCAGAAATTTCAAAAAGATCCATCAGTAACAAAACGACATTTTACCATCCGTCTCATTCTCAGCAATGTTTGGTGGGAAAGAAACATCCTTATTTTTCACTGTGCTGTTGATTGTTCGCAGGGTGACTGTGCACGTGCGGACTGAGACTGGAAAGCAGGACTCCAGGTCAAGTTCTCACCTCATCTGCCGATGTGCTCCTGAGGGCTTGAACTTAAGTACCCACATTTATTCTTCTGTGTTTGATTATGCAGATGACATTTGCACAGCTCTATATATTACAATCCACATGAAAAGACTGGATTGTGTATAAATTTTACATCTATCAAATGTTTTTACAACAAAAGAATAAAAAACATTTATGACAGTCTTTTCTCTGAAATTTGTGAAACAGTAGTGTAATTTTTTATTTTAGAATATCAGTCAACAAAACACAAAAGGTTTTTATGGCTAATTGAAATGTTTGCTAATTTGTTAATACTCTAATACTTGAAATCCAGCAAATTCAAATAAATGAAAATTCCACTGTGAAAACCACAAAAAACTATTAACCAAAAGTTTAGAGTCAGTAGTCATATTGCCTTTTCAAAAATATCTAAAGTAGTATATTAAAATGTGTTTACAAAATTACCCATCATGATAATTATGATAAAGTTCAATCGTATGCTTGCTTTTCACAAACTAACCTTTTGAAACGCTAAGCCCCCAACCCCCTCCCCACTTAAGCTGTTTGGAGATGTCTTCCTGGGGCTGGGGTGTTCATGCTGGCATTAGAGCCTTTGTAGGAGCAGAAGTGCAAAGCTGCTCAGTAGCCTCTCAAAGACAAAGACAGTGCAAAAGATCCTGCATGCACAAACTAGAAAGAGGCTCCCGAGTAGAGTCAGCAATCCCTGTGCCTTGATCTTATGAGACTATAAAGTTCTATAGTTTAGATGGCTAATTTCTGATGTTGTATGGCATAATAGTTTTATAAATAGTAATAATTTCATTTCACAACAGTTTCTGACCTAGTAAACATAGCAGAATGTTCGTTGATTAAAATCTCAAGAAACACGTTTTATTACAATCAATATTATTAATTTGTAAAAATTTTTGATTTGCTTAATATAAAATTTTATAGGTAGTTGCATTAGCTGATTGTTTTCATTTTATTTTAGATTCGTTATCCCAAATTTTGTTTGCTATGTTCTTTGCACTAAAACAGTGGCTAATAAAATATCTGTGAAGGCAAAACAATACTTTTGTTTAAAATGGTTTTCAGGATTTACTAGTTGATGTTGTCAGTTTTCCTTCTCATTTCAGTGCCTTTTTTTCTCTCTACTGTTAAATTAGGTATTATTCCTTCATGTAGGAACATTATTTTCTACCAAATGATGTTTTTTAGTCACCTAATATTTAAGTGTGAGCAACATTCAGTGTATGTGAACACTAAGTTGTCAAAGATGTTTATACTGATTCTCAAGTTTGCAAGTAAAATGAAGGGTGGAAACAGATTTCCTCATCTCATACCTGTGTAATTTCACTGTCCCTTCGTAGTTTAAGATATCACTAAGCACAAGCTGCTGCGAGTAGCCCAAACAATATGATTACTGGGAAACAAATATATAATTTGGTAAAGCACGCTTTCTAAAGGCAGGTACGGCAAGAGTTGGAAATCCAGCCTTCAACAGGCGATCTTCTATTCCCGCGAAACGAGTCTTTTTTTTAGTATTTTATTTTTTTAAAATTTTTATTTCTTTATTAAAGATTTCTGTCACTTCTCCGCCACCGCCTCCCATTTCCCTCCTCCTCCCCCAATCAAGTCCCCCTCCCTCGTCAGCCCAAAGAGCAATCAGGGTTCCCTGCCCTGTGGGAAGTCCAAGGACCACCCACCTCCATCCAGGTCTAGTAAGGTGAGCATCCAAACTGCCTAGGCTCCCACAAAACCAATACGTGCAGTAGGATCAATAACCCATTGCCATTGTTCTTGAGGTCTCAGTAGTCCTCCTTGTCCGCTACGTTCAGCGAGTCCGGAAACTAGTCTCAACACTTGCACCTGCTGAGACACGGGAGCCGCCCCCAGGTCGCCCGCCTCCCCGCCCCTCCGCGGAGAGTGCGTTTCCAAGCAACGCCAGCGGCGTCACTTCCTGCCATTTAAACTCAGGCCCACCCTCGAGGCGCCGACCGCTCGCCCGAGTCGCGAGCTCTCTGTGGTGCGCGCGCGCTTCTCGGAGCGGCTGGTGGACGCGAGGGCGCCGAGGGCCGGGAGGGAGTCCGCGCTCCTCGTCTGCTCGGCGGCAGAGCGGCTCCCGGCGGGCGGCGGCGATGGCGGCGGCGGAGCCCGCGAGCTCTGCCCAGCCCACGCCGCGGGCCCAGGCCCAGCCGCCGCCGCCGCCGCCTGGGGCGCCGTCTTCGCAGCCGCCCGCGGCGCTCAGCAGCCGGCACGAGAAGAGCCTGGGGCTGCTCACCACCAAGTTCGTGTCTTTGCTGCAGGAGGCGCAGGACGGCGTCCTGGACCTCAAAGCGGTGAGCGGGCGCTTGGCGGGGACGCGGCGTCGGGGCGACCGGGAAGCGGGGGGTGCAGGATGCGGCCCCTCCGGCGGGTAGGCGCGTGGCCCTGCCCACAAAGAGCACCCTGAGTGGCGACCAAGGCCCAGGCACCCAGGAATGGGCGCTTTGCTCTGGACTCACTCAAGGTGGGTTTGCTGTTGGAAACCGACGCCTTAATGGACCGCTCTATAGGACTTTATTTCTGTTTGAAGAACTTGCGTGCTAGTTCTTCCGAATGAAAGGAAAACGAGAAAACTTCCACACCTCGCCGCTAAAATAATAGTTTTTAGAAGGGGAAACTCTTCATCGACAGTTAGGAAGTGAGATTGGCTTTGTTGACATAATTTGGAATCTTAGGGTTTCTAGATGTGAAGATTTGCTGTCGCACAAAGAGTTTTGTGACTTACAGACTAAGCTGTGGAATTGCTTAGTAAAGTTTATATGGTTTTATAAGAATGTTTGCTTCGTTCTTTGCTACGGTTCAGGCTTTTTCAAAAAAAAAAAAAAAAGTTCATCAAAAGCTGTTCAGTCATACAGTGATTTAACCGTTCCTGGCAGGACTTGGAAGGATTCCACAGCGCAGAGGGGGGAAAAGGAGTCCGTGATCATGTGAATAAAAATCCAGCCAGTATACTGAGGTTAAGAAAGAGCCAATACTTTAAAAAACAAACAAAATTGCTAAGGAGTCTCCAATCACAGCGAACCGCCTCTGTGACTCCTTTACCTGGCTGTATTGGGAAAACTCGCAGCACCCAGGGACTAAGTCCTATGCCACCTTCCTGGCTTGAAGCCATTCCCATCCTCACTTCTGTGCCCAAGCAATGGAAAAAGTGTCCGAGCTGGAGAAGTTTGCTGTCCATCCTCTTGTGGTCCAGTGGGCGGCACTGGATTGTTGGCTCTGAAATTGCCCCCTCTCGTGGGGGTAGATGCCAGTAGGCTTCCATTCTTATTTGGAAATATTATTCCTGGGACTTTTTTTTTTTTGGTCACTTTTGAAAATTCTTTGTATTCTCATTCATATTCTCTCTCCCTCTCCCTCCCTCTTTTTCCCTCTCCTTGCCCCCTTTTTTCCCCTTCTCTCCCCTTTCCCCCCTTCCCTCAATCTTTTTCCCTCCTTAAAAGTACTTTAATGGGCATCTACGGTATTCAGGTTGAAATGAATTAAAATGGTATGGTTTCCAATTTCACTGGCAGTAATGAGGGCAGCAGAGAAACCCCTGATGTTACAAACACCCATTGAAATCTGCTCTTCAGAATTAAGTTCAGCTGTAGCCAGTGACTGTCAATATTTTAAAAGTCAGGAAATCCCGGAACTTTTTGGGTAAAATGGGGGTTTGATGATTCATCCTGAAACATGCTCAAAACTCAGAACAAGATATCTTCCCTTCCAGATTTGGATATCTGGCTTCCTTCACCTGGATGACAGCAGGTTCAGGCATCAAATAGCAGTTTGATATGCAAGAGTCTTATTTCAGTTATCTTGGATCTGTCCTAAAGAAATGTTCACAGATTGCTGTAATGATGTAAGGGTTAATGATTTATTCTGTTTCCTAGGTAGAAAAACATTTTATTTATGCATACAATTCATGTTTATAAATACATAAAAAATATACAGGACAACTTACAGTGAGGCTGTTTCTCATAGTACATCATGAAGTATTAAGATATCCTAACAATATGTGTTGAAGATGGTCTTGTACTGACACTAAATTTCTATCTGAAAAATTTAAAACACTTTCTTATTATTTTTTAATTCTGACTCTAAGTAAAGAACATTTTTCTGTATAAGCTATTGATACAGGCTTTGCATTTAATTTTTTAATTAATAAAAGAATCCAATTTTGTGAAAAATCACAAATATAAAAATATACTAACTTTCCCATCAAATATCTGAGTGACTGTAAAATACTGAGGACTGTGTAAATGGTGCTGCCCCAGTGTGAGCCTGATACACAAACTTAGGGAAGTTCTGGGTTAGGCCTGCCAAATGAGAGTGAGCGTTAGCAGCTAGGCTTAATTTCTGTGCTGTACTGCCTTTCTAGTAGTCCTTAAAAATAAACTTAAGTTTGCATGTGTCTCTGTGAATCAGGAAAGAAAAATGCATGATTTTACTCCTACGGTAGGCAATGGGCATCTGTCTGCACAGGAGGGCACTGATGGCAGATTCCGTAGAGATAGATTAAACTGATGTTTTCTTTTTCTGTAGCTTAGTAACTGTGAACAAGAGTGTGGGTAGGTGTTCTGAAAATTCCTTTTCACTATACTTCACATATGGAGTTTCTATTTTTAACATCTTTGTGCCATCTTGATCTTTGTAAACATAATCTGGGTTGTGTATGTTGTATACTATAACTACCTAAGTTACAATTACCTGAATGACACCTAAGTATTGGTGTGTTCTCTCCCAGATCCAGACACATACGTAATAAATGACCTAACTATACACCCTAGACAAGACATAATTCAACCACAAGTCTGGTAGGTAACAAGGTTTCTGAGGTAGTTGACACAGGGAGGTATGCATGAAGCATTTCAGGAGTTCGATGCTTGCTTGAAGTTTCTCAGGACAACATCACTCCTGGATATATGCTATGCGTGCTGAATTGTAAGTGGGGTCTGGAATAGGATGTATTTGTAGAATCTATGTTCATGTCAGTGTTACTCTAATAGTCAAAAGATGGGTAACTCAGATGTCTTCCAGAGGATAATCAATTGGGATATGCAGGCCCAATGAGGGGCTTTCTGCTTTAGAAAGATATTCTGACATGTATAGTGGAGGTGATCCTTGAGGACTTTATACTGAGTAAACAGACAAGTGCTGTATAATCCTTTTCCTTAATTTTTATTTTATGTGTATGAGTGTTTTGCCTGCATGTATGTCTGTACTACATGTTGTATGTGGAGCCTGCAGATGACAGAAAAGGGCATCTGGTTCCCTGAAATTGGAGTTACAGGTGAGGTGAGAGCCATTCCATGGAACTAAACATAGGTCCTCTGGAAGAACAGCCAGTACCTCTACATTAAGTGCTGATCCATCTCTCCAGACCCTGTTGTATGATTTTTATTTGAGTATTTAAGAGTACTCAAATTCTTAGAAACAAAGCAGGAGAATGCTTGCCAGAAGATATGGCAGTATAGAACAAAAATTCTGCAATTGATAATGAGCTTATAGGCTGAAGAGTCAAAACTTTTCAAAACTCTTAGTGTCCCCCATCCCATTCATTAATATGGAACTACATTTGAGGGAACTTTCATAAAAAGAAGGCTGAGTTAAATGACGTTATCAAGGTGTGCCCTATTAAATCTCCTCAGTGTCCCTGTGACAGCAAATTTGGATACACAGAACCAGTAGGACAGTTCACACAGAATAGAACATGTTAGAGCAAAGCAGGAGGGGAAGGCATGGGAGATGAGGGAGGGCAGTGGGACAGGGTGTCAAATAAGAACAGATTAAATATAATGACATGTTGCAGTGTACCAACCAAACCTTTGTATGCCAGGCAAAATAATAATTATATAAAAGGATTTTCAAACTATACAATTAATGGACGCAGGCAGATTTCAATTTATAGACTTCAGAGGATCACTATGGTTTTCCTAGTTATGTAGACACTATCAAATACCCTTTTTCTCCTTGATTATTCTTTGGTGACTTGCATAAGAAAAGAAAAGAACTTTCTTTTTAAAAGCTTATAAAGAGTTGATTAAAATAGCATCAGAAAAATATTCCAAATTTTTAGTACAGTGGCAGTCAGAGTAGCCAGACACAGGGTATTCTTAGATGCAGTTTCTTTGGGGCAGAGCATTGATGCGAATTGAAACACTTACTGTGTAAATAAATGGTGCTGCAGGAGGGGCCCTTCTGCTTAGTGTAAGTATTTATTGGTATTTCATTTCCTTGTTGATTTACGGCCCCTACAAGCCTGTTAGGAATATTTTCCTAATGCAAGCTCTCTGCCGAAGCAAATTCCCAATCCAGCCAAATCAAAACAAGCCAAATTAAAGAGATATCCAGGTTTAATGGGAGTTCTGCACTCTAGGGAGCCCTGAGGGGCCAGGAACGCGACCACCAGGAGGAAGAAAAAAAAGACCACATGTTCCTCTTTTGGGGGTTCACTTAAGCATTCTTGGGAGTGGTCCTGACACCTCCCCCCACCCCCGGGAGGGGTCAGGACCTGGCCTGCTGGGATATGGAGTTCAGACCAATACAAACGCTCAGGCCTGGAGGCTGGAATAGATGCAAGGGGCTGGGGTCTATGCTCCCAACTTAACAAAGCCCATTGGAAACAGAATGTTTTTGCTCTGACCTTAACTACTCCCCTTTCTTCCCAGGTTCATAGCATTTTTAACATCTCTCTTTTTTGTGCTAGGGATTTCACCTAGGGATCTGTACAGGTTTGGCAAGTGCTGTCATTGTAGTTTTTAGATTGCTCTTTCTTTTCCTTTTTAGATTTATTTATTTGTACTGTTGTTTTGCCTCGTGCGTATCTATGTGCACCACCTGCTTGCAGGGCCAGTGGAAGTAGAAAGAGGCGTTGGTTCCTTGGAACTGGAGTTCCACATGCTTGTGAGCCTCCATGTGGGTGGTGCTAGGAACCAAACCCAGATCCTCTGAAAGAGCAACAAGTGCTCTTCTTAACAGCGAGGCCATTTCTTCAGTCCCTACAGCTTGATGCTTTAAACGCCATTTCTCTCTCTCTTTTTTATTTCTTTATTACTTTATAAATAATACCAATCAAAATTCCCATTTCCTCCCCTCCATCCACTTCCCTCCCACTCCCCCACACACCCTTTCCCCCAACTCCCTTCTGTCCTAAGTGAGGGTAAGGTACCCTGCCTTGTGGGAAATCCAAGCTCTCCCATCCCCATCCAGGCTTAGGAACGTATGCATCCAAAGAGAATAGGATCCCAAAAAGCCAGTACATGCAATAGAGACAAATCCCAGTGCCATTATCATTGGTCCCTCGGTCTTCCCCAATTGTCAGCCACATTCAGAGAGTCCGGTTTGATCACATGCTCGTTCAGTCCCAGTCCAGCTGGAGTTGGTAAGCTCCCCCATTAGCTCAAGCACACTATCTCAGTGGGTGAACCAACCCCTCGTGGTCCTGACTTCATTGCTAATATTCTCCCTCCTTCTGCTCTTCAATTGGACCTTGGGAGCTCAGTCCAGTGGTCCTATGTGGGTCTCTGTCTCTATCTCCATCCATCGCCAGATGAAGGTTCTATGGTGAGATTCAAGATAGTCATCAGTCTGACTATGGGACAAGACCAGTTCAGGCACCCTTTCCTCTACTGCCCAGCATCCTAGCTGGGATCATCCCCGTGGACTCCTGGGAACCCCTCCAGAGCCAAGCCTCTTGCCAACCCCAAAATGGCTCCGTCCACTAAGATATCTCCTTCCCTGCTCCCATATTCGTACTTCCTCCATCTCAGCCATCGCTCTCCCCAACCCTCCCCTTCAACCCTCTCTCTTTCCTCTCCCCTTCCCTCTACCCTCATTGCCTCCATGCTCCCAACTTTTGCCTGGCAATCTTGTCTACTTCCAATTTCCAGGAGGATCTATATATGTTTAAACACCATTTTATGAGATATTATCTGCATAGATATAGACTTAAGAATATATGAGTTTTTTTTTATTTTCAGTAAGCAAATAAGTGGAAATTAAATTTCTGCTTTTCTGCCTTTATCAACCCCTTATGGAACCTATAGTGAAGTTTTACTTAAGTCGCCTGTTAAGTCGAGCATATACTGAATTCTTATGCCCAAATGATTTATGTCTTCTGAGTTGTATAAAATGTTTTGTCACCATTTTATTTTTTGAATAGAGAACTAATGTAAAATTTTACCCTATTATTCTTTAGTTTTATGGGCTTTGATGAGTTATTGTGATCTTTACATTAGATAGCATCTATAAAGTCCTGTTACCCTATTACTGCAGGTTAAAATCAAGCATTTTACATGTTAATTATAATGAGCTGTGTGTGAAATTCGGTAATAATTAAATCAAGGAAATAGAACAGCATAAAGAGCCATATCTTAGGGTTTCTAGTGATGTGAAGAGAGCCCATGGCAACTCTTCTGTTTGTTTGTTTTGGGTTTTTTCAAGACAGAGTTTGACTGTGTAACAGCCTGGGCTGTGAGCTCACTTTGTAGACCAGGCTGGCTTCAGACTCACAGAGATCTGCTTGCTTCTGCCTCCTGGGTGCTGCTATTAAAGGCATGCGTCACTACCGCTCGGCCCATGGCAGCTCTTACAGAGAAAAACAGTTCAGAGGTTCAGTCCATTATCATCATGGTAGGACATGCCATTCACATAGATTTCCTTTCTTCTGTTTTCTTCTCACTAAGACTCTTCTGATAGCAAACAGAGAAGACACTTTGAAGTATGAAGTCTAATTTTCCCTGTGCTCAAAACTGCCTAGTGGCTTTCCATGTCACTGGAATTAAAAGCTGATAGCTTCACAATGACCCAGAAGGTCTGTTGTCTCTCTTTTACTGCTACCAGAAACCACACCCATAGAATCTCGCCTACAGGAATGCTCACACATGAACTGAACAAGGAGGGCACCAACAAATATGCCAGAATGGACAGGGAAAAGCCAATGAGGCCTCAGCCCCACACAAAACTATAGGCAAGTGAGGAAAGTTGGGAGCAAGAGAGGTGGTTCTCCCTAGGGAAGAGCAATCCAATTGGATATCCAGTGGTAAGTGGTCAGCTCTGAATAGGTTATGTATGTATGTATGTATGTATGTATGTATGTATGTATGTATGTATGAATGAATGAATGTAAATGGTTGACTGTGGTTGGGACATATAAGTCACCCTTTCCTTATTTCCTCCCATTGCTTTTCATGATGGTGTCTTATCACAACAGTAGAAACCCTAATTAAGATAGATGAGTGAGTCAAGTAGTGATGACCTGCAAGAGCTGGTAAACATGTCTTAGGCTGTAAATCACATTTGTTAATATAGAATATGTGCTGGAAATTGTCAGGAGGGCCATTTAACTACTATTTCATAAGTACCATGAATTGTATAGTGGGATCCTACATTACTGATTTAGGCTGTTGACTCTGAAAACAGAGCTGTTGGGTAACCTCATTTCTGAAGTTCTTTCTTAGTGGGGAGCTGATCACAGGAATTCCTTGGTCTTCATAATGTCCATTCGGGTTCATCATGATAGTATTTGTGTTTCTCTAACCTTGTAGGAAAGAAACCACCATGCTTTTTTTAAAAAAAATAATAATAATCGCTAGAAACACCACTATGTTTAGGATTTTTATTTCTTGTTGATTTAATAGTGCAATAAAACTTTTAAAACGCAAATCATTATTAAACAAATTTATAATTTGTGCATACATATAATGCTGACTCCCTTTATTCCTTAATTGCCAAAAGGCTCAGATACATAAAGAGTAAGGCTGTCTTTTGATGAGATTCTTATAGGAAGTGAAAGACTTAACAATTCCTTCTCAGCTTAGTCTTTGAGGTGACAAAAATTACTACTGTGTTGTTGTATTAGAGATATGGCTTATGTTGTGACAGCATTTTTTTCTTTAACATCTTCTACTGTTTAGATGGAATAATTTCTCTGGTATTTGCAAAGTCTGGGAAATGCTTCAAATATATCTAGTTAATGTTTTCAGGAGACTGAGTGGGTGATATTTGGGACAATCACCTCTCTCTCTGGCTTTATATATACATGGTACTTTCTTTGTTCTTTTTGTCCTAAACAGGCTGCTGATACTTTGGCTGTAAGGCAAAAGCGAAGAATATATGATATCACCAACGTCTTAGAAGGAATTGATCTAATTGAAAAAAAATCAAAAAATAGTATCCAGTGGAAGTAAGTCACAAACCCTACCCAAAACCAATACTAGGTAGAAAATGAACATCAGAGCTTTCTTTTTCACAAATGTTCAGTTTTAGTCAGCTAATCACATCAGACTTCTGTCCCCAGGACAGACTCTCTAGGCTTGCCTATCTGTCCATTATGTGTTGGATGCTTCCTTGTTCTCGCCACTGTTTCATGTATTACCTATGGCATCACTATGTGCTTCTGACAGGTACATTCTGCTTTTAGAATACTTTCTTTGGCCTTAGACTTTTTTGTTGTTGTTGTTAAAATTCTGCCCCAAAACCAGATATAGTTATCTTCATTAGCACCTCAATGTACATCAGGAGACTGTTTAGTTATCTTCACCAGCACCTCAGTGTACATCAGGAGACTAACTGTTTAGCTTTGATGTGATTTTGGCCCCTCAGTCACTAGCTTGGCCTTCCGGGTGTTAAAAAAGCATTGTAGCATATACTTAGAATTTCCAAAACATATTTCTTGTCATTAACTTTTTGTATTATTCGAAAGTTTTTTGTTTTTAAGATTTACTTATGTGCATTTGGTATTTTGACTGCATGTATGTCTGTGTGAGGATGCAGATTTCTTGAAACTAGAGTGACACAGTTGTTAGCTGCTATGTGGGTGTTGGGAATTGAATCCCGGGTCCTTTAACTGCTGTGAGTCATCTCTACAGTCCCCTTTCAGATTTTCTAAGCAAGTACGTTTAGAGCTTTGATGTTTAAATTATGTAAGGATTTTAATGTGTGGTTTTCAGAAGAATGTAAACGCATTTGATTAACCTTTAAGTCAATTTTATTACTATAAAAATTAAATGCTATTAAATGGGTGTCTGATCCTGTGAGTATTTATTCTTATGGTTTTAAGGGGTGTAGGCGCTGGCTGTAATACTAAAGAAGTTATAGATAGATTAAGATTTCTTAAAGCTGAAATTGAAGATCTAGAATTGAAGGAAAGAGAACTCGACCAGCAGAAACTGTGGCTACAACAAAGCATCAAAAATGTGATGGAAGACTCCATTAATAACAGATATCCTTCTGAGTAAGTTATTCGTCATATAGCACAAAATGTAGTACATCTTTAGTACTCAGATCAGTTATCTGGTTCTTAAGCAATTAAGTTTTACAAATATAACATTTTATAGCTCTCTAATAACAGACTGGTAGTTTAAAAATACTATCATTTTAAGTTGTATGGTATTAACATTCTTGTACTGAGGGGAAAAGATACATGTTCTCTCAGCATATGACTGGCAGGATGCAGTATTGTTGCTTAGTACAGGGGTCTGAATATTATTGCTAAGTATATATGGTACTTTAAATAATTATGTCCAGTTCTAGCTTTCAGTTTTGAAAAACTAATTTTTTAAGGAGTGTCATAAGTTTACAGTCCTTGATGCTTCTTCCTAATACTAACCCAAGACTGGTTTCTCCTACTACCTAAAGGGATATTAATGCCGCAGGGTATATGTTCCTTTCATACCACTGTCTATGGAGATCTCTTGTGTTTGTCTTCCTTTGCAGTTAACCCCCCCACACACACCTCATAAAAATAGTTCAGTAATGTATACAATATATTCATCATGTTGTCTTGTTACTTTTGTGTGGGAGTTAGAGCTCTGTAATCACGTGAGAACAATGGGAATTTTCAAGCTGTATCCCATGGAAACCGAAGATTTGCAAACCATTTAAGTGATCTAGAATTTGTTGCTTAACAAGATTTTGGTCATTTACAAGCGTCTAAACTGTGACTGTACATATACTGTATAACTTAAATAGTGGTGATTTTGATGTGTCGAAAATATATCTGTCTGGGAAAAGGGTGCCCTGCATTTAGCCAATTCTTAGAAATGGCAAGGGCTTAACCAGGAGTGAAGTTGTAGTCTTAGACCATACATCTGGCCTATACACCCAGGAGGCAATATTCCTTCTACTTCATCATCCCAGGACCAGGAAAAGGCAACCTGGGATCCTATAGGAAAGAGTTGGTCAAAATTAATCAAACTAACCAATTCTGAAGTGTTTCTGTTTCTCCTTCCCTGCCTTACTTTTCATGTGAAGGCCCAAACAAAGATTCTAGACTAATGCTTTCGCCTACCTTCTAAACTCATTGCTCTGTTTCCCATCTGTGACACTTCTGTCTTTAGGAGCTATGAGTGTAATATATTTTGTTTGCCAGAGCCTCCTCTCTTTCTATGGCCATACAACTTAAAAAAGAAGCAGTGATGATGCTCTTTCGCATCCATTCCCATGCACTCACACCTCTAGTTTATGTACCATTTTGCATCATAACCCAAAAGTCCTGAGATGTCACAAACCAGAATGGCTACTTATTAAAGCAACATATAGAAACTCTGCCTACAGACTTTTGATTGTCTTTGTCTTTCTAAGGACTTGCACTTTTTGTCTCCCCATGTTATATTGCCTTCATTCATTTGATTTCAATTTGGACTTCAGGTTTATTAACAAGTGTATAGGCCTTGATAGAAATGTTGTTCCTTAACTCTTATGACAGTACGTTTTCTTATGTAACTCACGAAGACATCTGCGATTGCTTTAATGGTGAGTACTGTTAGCCTTTTCTTACATACTTCCATTTGTTTATTTGGTTTCTCGAGACAGGGTTTCTTTGTCTAGCCCTGGCTGTCCTCTGATTTAGACATCCACCTGTCTGTGCCTCCCAAGTGCTAGGATTAAAGGCACGAGCCACTGCATTCTTCCTTTGAACAACCTGTTGACTGTAGTTTCTCACAATCCCCCCATACACTCAGCCTGTATTTATCAGGAGTTGTCTTTCTCTGTAGTCGTGTGCTGACAGGCTGCTTACAGATGTTTTCATGGCAGTAACCAACCATTTTCACAGCTTTTACTTTATGTGTGGGAGGGCACAGGAGCCAGGGGATGAGGAACTTAAATGAGCAGGATTTAGCGGACTTTTCAAGGTCCCAGGAGCATAGGAACTTGAAACATAAGCATTGTTTCATGAAACTGTATATAGCAGGTACTAGTCACAGGTGGAACCCAGGGAACTCTTGAGGAAAGTTAGGTGAATCTGTTTCATAGTGATGCCTCTACCTTACTATATAGTTAAGTATGACCTTCTGATCCCTCCTGCCTCTTCTTCTTTGGTTCTGAGTTATAGGCATTGTGCCATCACTGCCGATTTTTGCAGTGTTGGGGAAAGACCCCGGGGCATTGTAGTGGGCAGGCACTCTGCCAGCTGAGCTACACCTCTAGCTGCTTTTTTATTTAATTTCTGATAGGTTTTCAAGTGGGCCTAAAACTGGCCTAGAGCTCACTGTGTAATAAAGGTTAGCCTGGAATTCTTAATTCATCTGCCTTCACCTCTCAAATGCTGGGATTAAAAACATGCATACACCAGCACACCTGGTAGCCTGGTAGTGAATCCACACTTTTTTGACTTTTCTCTCATTCTCACCACGTCCTTTGAACTATGGCATTGCATTCCTACAGTTAAGTATTTATCATTTTATTTTATTTTGCCAGGTGATACACTGTTGGCCATTCAGGCTCCTTCTGGTACACAGCTCGAAGTACCTATTCCAGAAATGGTATGTAGCATAGCTTTGATACAAGTGAAAAAATAATTCTGTTATCTCAAGAGAGGCAAATGTATTTTCTTGAGCTAAATAAGAACAAATAGTGTATGGACACGAATTATTGGTATCTGAAAGCACTGACACCTAAATTTGGGTGCCTTTAACTTTAGTAAAAGTAGCTAAATGAATCTATACTTCTCCCCTATTCTCACAGTATTTAGGAATTTGCATTATTGTGTTTTAAACCTTTAAGAAACAAATTGCCTTTTGGAAAAGGAAGAATTTTGTATCTATGTAGGAAGTCAGGTTCAGTTGTCTTTTGATTAAGGGTGGAAAAGTTTTGGTTTCTGAAAGTTGCATATTTAAACAGGATGTTTAGATAACCACAGTCATGGTAGCTTACTCCAGAAGATTGGAATTCATGCATGTGGACACTTTGTACATTACTGAGCACAACTAAGTAATATTACAGACAGTGAAATGGATGGTGGTGTAGAAACTTGAGTTTTAAAACCAACCTGGACTACACAGTGAATCTGTCAAGTAAAGATGAGAGGGAGGGATGGGAAAGAAGTGAAAAGAAAGCAAAAGGAAAAAGTAGGGCAGGGAAGGAAGGAAAAACGGGACAAATTGATTGTTTAGAATTCAACAACTACCTGTTTGATGATACCAAAGCTTACCTTTTAGGGGCAAGTGGCTTAGAGACCTTAATATTACATTCTACTTTGGTCTTTTAGTCTCCAGTGTTGCAACCTAGTGACTTTGTCATGTGAGTTTAGTTGTTAGATCTTAATGACTTTGCCTGTGTTTGTTTTAATGTTTTATGTTAACTAGCAATGATTAAACTCATTTGTTTATGCCCAATGACTTTAAAGGGTCAGAATGGACAAAAGAAATACCAGATAAATTTAAAGAGTCACTCAGGACCTATCCATGTGCTACTTATAAACAAAGAGTCAAGTTCATCTAAGCCGGTGGTTTTTCCTGTCCCCCCACCTGATGACCTCACACAGTCTTCCTCCCAGTCCTCAACGTCAGGGACTCCACAGAAATCCACCATGGCTGCTCAGAACCTGCCCGAGCAGCAAGTTTCTGAAAGAAGCCAGAGTTTCCAGCAGATACCAGCTACAGAAATATCTTCAGGTTGGTAGAAAGTCTTTGATCTAAAAATTTCAGGTGAAAATATGAATACTATATGAAACAGATAAGAGCGTTTATCTGAGGCAAAATAAGCTTATTCGATGTTTTAGTGTCCTCTGTAGTCTATAAACCCAGCACTAGGATAGTTATTATAAGGAAGATTCTGAAGCAGACCCTGTCTTTCTATATTGTTAGACATAATATGTATGTGTGTATGCATATGTATATGCATTTTGAGGGAAAGAACCCATAAGGAATACTTAAACCATTTTTACTGAAAACTTCACACTGGCGCGGAATTGAACAGTATGTTATGATCAACAATTTTGTACATACTCCTGCCACAGGCAATTTCAAGCTATCCACCTGAATCACTGATCTATTAATATTAGCCATGGTGTCATATGAGATACATATTTGTATGCATGTATGTGTATAATGCACGTTACAGGAATATCTAATCAGTAACAATGTTTAAACTATATAGAACTTTTGTTTCTGAACAATTAACAAAAGTCACTACAGATATTAAAAGCTGTGTTATATAGTTTATTGTTTGCTAATGGGATATTGCTTCTAATCCTAAATTTCACAATCAGTAACAGTGAAACTAGACATTAATGGGACATGGGTTGGTTTTAGCTTTGTGTTCCATACATACATCTTGCTTCTAAGTTTATATACTCTAGCTGAAGAGCTGCACAAGAGAAAGTATAGTGTTGAAGAAAGTACTAATTAATTCCAAATTAATTGGAATGTATGAAGTAAATAAATTGTATATGCTTTAGCTTAAACCCAGTTGGTACCCTGGCTTCCAAAGAACATTTTTAAAAAATTTCTGTGTACCATTTGTTATAGTGAGAGGAGTTACTTGGGGACACATTAGAGGTTTGAAATATCAGATGAAAATGCTAGCTAATAAACCAGCTTTGTATGAGGGTAAGCAGACATTAGTTGTGCAATGGTGATTATGAGGGTCTGGTGACTTGGAAACTTCAGAGATTGAAGATGAGATGTTTGCAGTTTCCACAGCTGAGACAACCTAGGACTAGAATAGGGTGCAATGAGGGGGATAGAAAAGAGAAGTAATAAGCTGAAGAAATATTGTTTAAGCAAAGCAAATAAGTTTTGGTGTGTAAGGTACAGAAATAAAAATGAACAGGAGAAATGAAGTGTTGCTGAGTGAGTCAGATTATATACTCTTTACAGACTCAGTTTTAGAAGAATGGGGTCTTTTCCTCTGTGTCTTCAGTTTGCAAGTTTAAAGGCATGCCAAGAAAAGTGGTTTCTCATGAAATTGTCTTCCCAAAATGTAGTGGTACTTTTAATTTGTTTCTGCCAATCAAACTAGTGATGTGATTACCACTATTGAAATGTAATTGCCTCTATCATATTTGTGTTTTCAACAGGGTCTATTGGTGGAGACATCATTGATGAACTGATGTCTTCTGATGGTAGGTAGCTGAAGATTTTACTACTGGATATACCTCACTATCCTAAAGTGTAAATGCCATGTGACTCAAGATTATAGTAGGCATCTTTTAAAATTCATATTTACTTACATTTTTAGGAAAAGAACCCAAAAGGAATACTTAACCACTTTCATTAAACTATTCACATACTGGCACAGGAGTAATGAATAGTATGTCACAAGAAGTAATTTCAAGTTAACATTGGCCATAGTGTCATATGAAATAATCATTAAAAATCTGTTATGTATAGTATGCTAGATCATAACCCATGTAGAAACCAACTATAACAATGAATCTTTTTTTTGCAGTGTTTCCTCTCTTACGGCTTTCTCCTACCCCAGCAGATGACTACAACTTTAATTTAGATGACAATGAAGGAGTCTGTGATTTGTTTGATGTTCAGATACTAAATTATTAGATTCCATGGAAACTTGGGACTGTTATCTACCTCTAACTGTAACATTGTAGAATTCTTAATAACCTAAGTATTTAAAATTATGAATGTAACACCATTTTAGTTCATCGAGTCTGAAATATTCTTCACTAACATTTACTTCACAAAACTTGAAAGGGCTCTGCCTGTTTCAGGGGGGATGATTAACTGTCGACCAGCATGCCCCACCAGTGATTATATTCAATTTCTTTCAAAGCTGAATTCTGTTGTAACTTCTCCTAAGAGAAAAGTTAAAGCAGACTTCAGGTCACCACACCAAAACATTGCCCAGAAGATTTTATTTGTCTATATTTTTACTGCCACAAAGTTATATCTATGTGTCCTTCAGACATTCACTGCCACAGATAAAGTGAAGGGCGTCACTATTGAGTGAAGAGATTTTGTGAAGTGCCTTCTGTTTTAGCACTTTAAGCCTATCAGTTTGCTGACTTCTGACATTCTACTTTCCTAGAGTATAGGAAAGATCTGTTTATGTAGTTTGTTTTTAAAATGTGCCAATGCCTGTACATTAACAAGATTAAAACAAATAAAGTTGTATAAAGCATTCAATTTATTGATCTTTGGGGGAGTGTCACTGTGTTACAATTGAGCCATTAGTCTGGTTGCTTCATCAACATTAGCTGGTTCATTTTCATGGTGCTTCTGAGGAATCAAAGGGGAAAAAGTTAAAACAAGCTAAAGTTTAAACAAAAGCAAACTAAACCAACTTGAATACAAGCTGCTACCTAGTTTAATTCTTCTAGTTTACCTTTGGAAATAAAGTAAATTGTATATTCAGACTTCATGTATGACCTAAAATGCTATATACACCAAAATGCCAGGTAAAAAAATGCTTATACTTCAAGTGTGTTAGCCTTCACTTAAGTGAATTTCTACTTACCAGCTCCTTCTGCACAGATTTCAGAGAAAGGCTTTTTGAAAAGCTTGCAAGTTCTTTCTGTATGTTTATAAAAGCTCTGTTCATTCTGTTGACTTTTTCATCATTCATAATGTTTATCTGTTAAAAAAAAATTTACACTCTCATAACTATTGAAGTACTGGGCTGTGTAAATGTCTCAAACACTCTCTCCCACGCCTACCCGTCATGCATGTGGCACAGACACACAAAAAAAAGTTTTTAAAAAGTCTATAAACTCTACCAAACTGATAATCCACACAAAAACTACTGTTGGCTTTTTAGGAAATTTAGTCAGAAAGTTTGGATTTTTAAAAACATCAATTATATGGATTTTCCTCATGCTTAAGACAGATCAAAATCTGTGCTCTAGAGCTGGTTTCAGCAGCCGCATCATATGGTTCACAAGTGCCTCTAGCCCATTCCGAGAGGATCTGACTCCTCTTCCAGAGTCTGCAGGCCCACATACAAGTACCAGATGATGCACACAGACTTCTAGATTTTTATGTGACCAGTCCTGGCTATGGCATTTAACTATCATTAATAAAGCAAGAAACCTGGATCAGATACTTTCAGTCCTTTTGAATAAACAACTCTTGAGCCCTTTTCTGGACACTTATTTCCTATGTGCACTAGCCCTCAAGTCTGAGCATAGAGAAGAAATGGTGTATTCAAAGCTGCTACCAGGATCTCTCCTTCAAAGCCTCTGGCTTCTTTGTACCACATTCTTCGTGAGAACACCAATATTCCCTATTGTCACCCAGAAATACCACAATTATCTGCTGCTTTATCAGAGTTCACAGACTCTGACCACTCTATATATGGAATCACTGTTTAGTGAGTTCAGTGTATCTAGTCTAATGGCCTCTTCCTCTCAAGGCCCTACTCTGTGGGATCTAACAGTGGACCCTCTGCTTCTACAAGACACCTTCTTACCACTTTTTCAAGTCACAATAAAGTTCACTCAAAACACTTCAATCCTCACAGTCCACCTTATCCCTTTATCAGCATGGATTTCATACTATCAATCCCTATATGCTTTTCTTTCTCTCATACTTTGACAAACTTTGCTCGGTAACCTGGCTAAACACAATTGACCCAATCTGAGTCCAGATCTTAAGCTGACTGAAGTCATAACTGGCTGACTGGCTTCATTAAATTCACTGTCAGAAATTTCAATCTCATTTAAATAAAATTTAATAAAGCCACTTTCTGAAGAAATTATTTGATACTAACTCCAAGTAGCCTACCTACTTTCTCTGATCCTATCAGCTTATGTAAAAGTTCTAGTGTCTTAAGGTTCAATAAAATAATATTCCTCAAATAGACTATGAACATGCTGCTGTCAGGTTTCCCACTTTAGTATCAGCTCTTTTTCATGCAAGTCTTTGCAACTACAAAGAAAAACCTGTGGAAAACTCGCTCCAAACTCCTATCTTACCCAACTTTACTTCCTTTATAATTAGAAAATCACAAATATCCTTTAGAAAATGTATTCCAGTCCTTGAGAGATAAAAGCCAGTTTTTAATGGACATTTATAACAACTATTACATCCTAGAGAGACTGATCACTTACTATTTAAGTTAGGAAACACTCGAAGTACACAATCTACTTAATCGTGAGAACAATTTCTCAGTTACTTTGAAGTATAAAGATTTACCAATTTTTTAATGTGTATGTGTGTGCATCTGCATAAGTTTATGAGCACCACGTGCATACAGGGAGGGACAGAGATCAACAAAGGTTTTCAGATCCCCTAGAACTGGAGTTAGTAAATTGTGAGCCCCCATGGGATACTTGGAACTCAACGTGGTCCTCTGCAAAAGCAGTAAATGGTCTTAATTGCTAATCCATCTCTCTAGAACTTTTTGTATTTTTCATTTTATAGGTTTTGATGGGAGAAGGGAGTTTCAAGACATTGTTTTCTCTGTGTAACCTTGGCTGTCCTAGAACTTGCTCATTGGCCTCAAACTCAGAGATTCACCTGCCTCTGCCTCCTGAGTACTAGGTAAACACAGTCAGCACCAAGCCTGGTTCCATTTGATAGGCTAAGATACTAGTTACGAAGCTGCTGCTGGATACTGTAAATCTCTGCTAGTGGAATCTCAAATCCACTTCAGAGTGAACTAGTAAGAACTGCCCTCCATACTGTTTTAACAGTGACTTTTGTTAATGTTTTGTTGTTGGTTTTCAACATCCCCCCTTAAATTTTTATTTTAAAAGGAAGGTTATCTTAATATTTGAAAAATAATCTTACCTAGTAAGAAAAGCTAAGAATTTCTGGTTTAAGTAACAAGATCCTATTCACTAATTTCCAAGTCCACTTTATAAACAATAAAGTCAGACAGACTACTTAAATACTCACCTTCTTAAGATTAGTAGTAACTGGTTTTGCCTTGTTTTTAGCCTTGAAGGTTTTTTGGCTGGCTATATGAAATACATTCCTGGACTTCTGCCCTTTTAATTTGTTCTTGGCCATTGTCTAGAAAAGAAAAGGATTCAGTCAAACTGCTTATATTTTGAGGCACAAATAGCATAAATTTTTAAGATCATCTTAGTTCTGATTATTTTAAAAATTGCTACATAAATCCCATGTCGTGCACTCTAGACATTTTGTGAACAAATAAGGCACATATATCTCAATCTTTCTGTGTCCCCAGCACCAGGCCTGAGAACACCAGTTAGTATTTACTAACTGAATCTGGTACTGTCAACACACACAAGCAAAACTTCTTCTTTGCAGCATCTTATAGTAGTAACTGGCAACAATTCTACGAGTTCACATGCCAATATATTATCCTGGTATAGTAGTATATTAGATACTGAATACTATTTTCTTCTCCCTTTTACTTTCTTCTCTCTCGTACCCCATCAAAAACATTCCTCAATCTTGTACTTCCTACCTCCCTCATCTGCCTTCCAACAATTTCCCTGATAATTTATATCCAAATTTTTTTTTACACTGAAGCCTTGTTTTCTTTGCTTAGGCTAAATGCGGATTTAAGCCATAACTTCTACCTGAGAAGTTTCTGCCAAATCTGTTTAAGAATTTATGTAAAGAATTTTTAAAATACTAATATTTAACATTTATTGAGCTTTTACTATATATAGTCACCGGACTTACGTTCTATGTGATTTAACTCAGTCATTCTTCACCACAACCCTTTGGTAAGAACTATTATTCTGATTTTACAGATTAAAAAAATGGTGCAAAGAGTTTGCCAAAGTTTAAGGGTTTGTCTTGTTTGTTCGCAAACACACACACACACACACACAGAGGTTCGTGCTAGTGCACACCTTTAATCCCAGCTCTCGGGAGGAAGGAGCAGGCGGATCTCTTTAAGTTCCAGGCCAGCCTGCAGCCAGGGCTACACAAAGAAACCCTGTCTCGAAAAATCAATACTTACGTACATACATACATACAGACACACTAGACAGTAGAAAATATATTATTACAGGAGTAAACAGTAGACAAAAAGCTAAACTGATTTACTAATGAGTAGTACGTCTGAAGTAATAATCGATAATTAAATATAACAGAAAGCAGCATAAAGCATACACAGGTGTAAAGGTGTAACACACTCGAATGACTAGATACGTTTCCTATGCTAGAAGAAGAACAGTTCGAGCACAGCAACAACCTAACTGAAGGCAGGGACTGGGAAAGCTGTGTGGCGAAGACAGTCAAATCACAGGCAGCCTGCCACGGGGTGGCCGCACGATTTCGGTCCACAGCCCGGAGGAACAGGCATCTGCGGAGGAGGCGGAACAGAGCCGTCGGCGCCGCTGCAGCCGGGCCCAAAGCTTTCGCCCCAGCCGCGGACAAACCTCGTAGGCGTCTCACCAAACCCCCAAATCCCACGCGGCCGCTCAGGCTCCCAGCGACGCCACTCACAAACTCAGGACGCAGGAAGTTCCCTGAAGAAGCCGTGGCCCCGCCCACCGCAAGGGCCACGACGAGCGGGGTCGCGCCCAGCACGTACGATCCTCGTTCCTCTTAGCCCAGCCCTTCACGCTCGGCCCTCAGCGATAGCCCCGCCCCTTCCCCGAGGCCCCGCCCACCTTGAGGGGCCGCCCTGGAAGGGAGCCCGGAGCCGTGGGGGAGGGGCGACCTTTTTCCCATCGCTAGTCTCCCCGGCATTTGACCGGGAGGCGAGCCGGGGCGAGACCGACAAAGCCGAAGTCGGGCAGTCGCGCCTGAGAAACTCGAGGTCACCAGCCGGCTGCGGGCTCGGGGATGTCCGGCAAGTGGCGCTGCGACACTGAAGAAAAAGTTCACATCCTTTTCACGTTCTTACTTCAATGTTCCAAAAAGAAAATTTCTTACAAGATATCTTTCACAATAATATATTGTGCAAAATGAATTCATTAGAAACCTTTGAGAAAACTCTGGAGAAGCCGCTTCACCTTCCGTCTTTGTGCGTCTGCTCGTTTCACATAAGCGCATTTCCAAAAAGTCTATTCACATTTTTCAAGAAACTACTCACATAATTGTTTCCACATGTTTCTACTTGTTTCCCAGACGTCACGGGGAAAGTTTTCAAATGAATGAAATGTTGGCATTTATATGCAAATTTTGTATCTTAGAAGCATCCTGACTACTGGTTGCTCTGCACCAAAATAAAGCAGTGATACCACTGCCTTCTGCAAGAGAGGGCACCACTGAGGCCCAGGGCAGAACCGCTTCTAAGGTCTACCACAGCTGGCATCCTATGCACCTAATCAGTCCTTCATCTGTTTGTAGAATGATGATCAATTCTGCTGCAATGAATCATTATATTATACCCGTCAAAGAAAATGATGGAATAAATTCCGTAAGGAAACATAATTGCCTGTTAACACACATTTATTTTTTAATCTTTCTGAAGATCCACCTTTAAAGTACGTTAAAATGAAAGAAAATTCAAAATACCTGTGAAGCTCACATATGTGATAATGTCCTTGGAGCAGAGCTCTCTTGTCCCACGCAAGGCAAAAAATAAAAATAACAGTCTGTTTTGTGTCGTTTGGGGAATGACATCAAAACTAAAGCAAAGCTACAGAAAAACATTAAATTTTGCCAAACCAGAGTTATAAATACTGATACAAAGAAGAGAGACATAATTATGTTCCTTAAATGTGAAATCATTGACAAGTTTGTACAAGACAAAGCAATATATGCAAAAGAATGTCATTAAAGTGGTAAAATCTGTGGAGGGTAGCTTTTAGTCTAAAATTATGATATAAGGCTACATCTACCAAGGACCAAGGAAATAGCATAGTTATACAAGTGAAAAGAAAAGCCTTCTACAAGACAAAAAGACATTAGTTTCTGTTTTATTTTCTATATCCAACAATGCAACCTTCATTTATTTCCCTTTGCCTCTTTTGTAGAAGGCTATTGTCCCTTTCAGACATTTTTTTTTTCTCAGTATCCCTTTCTGGATAACCACTTTTGTTACATCAAGTGGTCCTAGCCAGGTAATGAAGTTCTTCTCTAAGGCCTTCCCAACTAGAGCCAGGGGAAAAGTTGCCATTTGGACTTAATGATGTTTCCTTGGAATGCTGCAAAACTGGGGCTTCAAACCACTGACCATCTCATTCAGGAACTGGGAAGAAATGAAGGTGCCACAAAGGGAAAACAACTAGGTGTTTGAAAAATGGTCTGGTAGTACAGCTGGTAGTAGAACCGGAGAATTCATGATATCATTTGATTCCCTGGATTCAGTAATGGCTAGAACAATCTTCCTCTTCTCAATTATCAAAGGTAAAAGATTACATTGGAGAGACCAGACCTAACTTGGACCTTTTTTCCTTTGTACCGAAAAGAGTTTTGACTTGCCTACTTACTTCACAGAATTATTGTACAGAGTTCATGAAGTCTAAAACAAGAATAAGATATTACTCTGATAAAGATAAGGCACATGTTAACTTTACAAATGCCATTTTATTCTGTGAACTATATGACCTGTTAAGTATAGAAAAAGCATGCATGGTGACTTTTGAAAGCCTTTAAAAACATTTACAAAGATCATATTACCAGGGTTTGTTGTCACCCAGGTTGGCTCAAATTTCAGGCTTACTGATTTTGGTCTCCTCACTTGTTCGGATTAGAGGCATACACCACACCACCTGGCTGGCCTGCACTTTTACTGGCAATCTTGGAAATGAATAAAGTCATCTTACAATGCATGTCTGTTTTAGTTATTTGTCTTGTTGTTTCAACACAATACCTGAGGAATGAAACTCAAGGAAGGGGCTATTTTGGCTCACAGACCAGTGTGGTGAGAAGTCTCCACAGCAGGACCATGAAGCCGCTGGTCATGCTGCATCTACAGTAAGAAATCAGAGAGAAGGGAATGTACCCCCTCAACTCCTTTTCCCCTTTTTACTCAGTCTGAGACTCTAGATCAGGGAATGCTATCTTTCACATTCATGGTGGGTCTCAACTTCCCCATTAACCAAATATAAAATTGTTGCAGAAAGAGGGCTGCTTGTTCATTCCAGCCTCCCAGAAACCAAAATAATCACACAAAACTGAATGAATTAAATCACCACTTGGCCCATTAGCTCTAACTTCTATTGGCTAAATTTTACATATTAATTTAATCCATGTATTGACACATGACAGTGGCTTACCAGGTAAAGTTCTAACCGGAATCCATCTCAGGCTGAGGATTCATGGTTTCTCCCTGACTCTGCATCCTTTCTCCCAGCATGTCATTTAGTTTTCCCCACCTACCTAAGTTCTGCCCTATCAATAGGCCAAGGCAGTTTTCCTTGTTCATCTTCCTCCGTTTTATTAGTCATATATCCAAGGTAATGCTGCCAACTACTTTTAGGATTGATCTTCCCACCTCAACTAACCTAATCAAATTATCTTTCATGGGCATACCCAAGCAGTAACCTAATCTGCAGAATTCTTCAGAAACATACCCAAAGAATCATTTCCTAGATTATTATAGAACAAGTCAAATTGATAATCAGTGTTAGATATTAACAAATCTAAAGTGGTCAGATCATCACGAGAAAATCCTAAAAGAAGGATTATGATTGGTCACTAATGGCACTGAACATTTTCGTTTTTTTTTTTTTTTGAAAAATTACTGCCTCCTCCCCGTTTCCCATTTCCCTCCCCCGCCTCCCACACATCTCCCACTCCTCCCACTTCCCTACCCCTCTCCCCCTCCCCCTACTCCATTCCCCCTCCCTCTCAAGAATGATGAGCAGGGGCTGGAGAGATGGCTCAGTGGTTAAGAGTATTGCCTGCTCTTCCAAAGGTCCTGAGTTCATTTCCCAGCAACCACATGGTGGCTCACAACCATCCGTAATGAGGTCTGGTGCCCTCTTCTGGCCTGCAGGCATACATGCAGACAGAATATTGTATACATAATAAATAAATAAATAAATAAATAAATAAATAAATAGATTTAAAAAAAAAAAAAG